TTCCTCTAACACCCTATACAAAACGTTAACATTCTAGTCCAAATTCTTACCAACTTATTTATTAGAGTAAATGAATATATATAGGAAATAACACTCCTTTTAGTTACTAAAATCTGGATGAGAAAAAATAAACAGCTAGAACTTTATATATAGACAAACCACTATCCTTATACAACAGAAACATTTTAGTTTCCAGCCTAAGGATTCGTTTGGATATAAGGGCTAGTTACTAGCTAAATAAAAATTAATTTTAGTATATCTAAATAGGAAGACTAAGGTGGACTAATTATTTAGTTAAGTCATTAACTAATTGTTAGCTAACTAGCTAACCAATTATAACTAATTTAGATTAATTTTTAGTCCTATTATTAACTACTGGTCATGTGTATCCAAGATACCCTACATCCACACCCACTTTTTATTGGTCAACTCGTCTCCAATTCAACCCCATTTCTCTTTCCCTCTACGCGGCCGCGATGCCACCTCCGGTTACCGCACCGACCCATCCGCCTCCGCCCTCCGAGTCGACGACCACCACCAGACCGCAGCAGCAGCAGCAGCCGCCGCCGCCGCCGCCGCCTCCTCCTCCTTCCGGCGTTGAGTCTGAGGTGCCGCCGAAGAAGCGGAAGCTGGAGGAGGAGGGGTTTCAGCGCTCGCCGTACTACACGATCAGAGAAACCGTCGCAAATCTCCGCGGCCGCTTCCTTCAGGTGCCCGCCGAAAACCCTAACATCCTCGAGTTCCATTCAGCAATAGCAGCAGCAGTAGCTAGCTAGCACGATCACTATATTCCTAATTCAGCATTTAGGAATGTTTTTGCTTGCGATGTTTCGGGGGTAGAGCACTGGAGGTTGTATTGTGATTTTGAGTGAAATTGTGGAATATTTTATCGACGCTTGAACTGAAATGTTTGTGCAGACTGCAGAGGTTCATAGTTCATACTAGACGTTAGGCGGGTTCTCTTTGTGGTTGAAATTTAACGGTCTGATGAGGACAAGTACGTACTGATACAGAATTGAAATTGAAGTTCCTGGGATGTATGTGATCTTAAGTGATCAGGTTAGCCCACCACGTTTGTGTGCAGTACACGTTCCTAATTCAACATACATGAATATTTTTGCCTGCCATATTTGTCTACAGAGCTGGCCGTAGTACTGTGCTTCTGAATGCAGTCCTGGAAGTTTCTATTGACGCTTGAACAGAAAAACAGTGTGCTGACTGCTGAGTTTCATAGTTCATAATAGTGTTTAGGCTGGTGTTTTCTTGCAAGTGGAAATTAGTGGTATGATGTGGACAAGTACATACGAAACAAAATCGAAATAATAGTTCAAGGGATGGAGGTGGTGTAGGTCTAAGCCGTCAGGTTGACTAGCCCTGTCTGTGTGTCTTTCAATGTCAATGTGTGGTATTGCACTACATTTATTTTTGAGAAATGTATCTCTGGCGTCTTGTTTTTTTTTGTTATGATATTGGTTATGGTTAAAACTGTAATCAGTTATTAATTTGTTTGCATTTGTTGTCATGAAGGTTTGCCAAGGAACTGATTCAGAAAAGAAAGATGCTGCTGTTGAGATCTTGAATGGTAAGTGACTAGTCCATTATGTTGGAGCAATGTGTAATTTTCTAATGTATTTCAGTAATCATAATCTGCACTAGAAATAGTGTTATGGCATCGGGTTTTGAACTTATCCAGTTTCTGTAGTACCATTTTATAGAAAACCATATTTCTTCAATACATTGTAACATAAGTATGACAGAGGTACTGTGACATTTCTTCTCAAATGTTATCATTCAAATATTGAATCCTCAGCATGGTTAACCCATCTATGACAATTAGTATATTACATTTCTTGATTTGTTAATTGTTATATATCATGTAAAAATATTATTGCATTCAAAAGCATTCCACCTGAGTCCTGCCTCTCTTAAGTTATGGTTCTGCGTTTGCTGTAGCTGTACACATGTAAAATACTTCTTTGATTATGTTCTCTACTCAGAAGCAGCTTTTATTGAAAACAAGCCACTATGTTCTGTAATCTATTCGAAATGCAAAAGAAATAATAGAACTGTGCATCAAATTATCAGTTATTATGAAATATACCATGATCAGCAGCTTTCTTTCAACATGCATCTATTCTTTCTTTTTTTTTCTTTCTTTTTGCATTTAGATTACCCCTTGTTTTGTGGTCTGTAAATACTACCTGAGCACGAGCACATGGACCTTACATTTGAACGATTTTACAAATTTTTATATATAATGGCTTCTTTATATTATCATGCATATGTATGCATAAAAATTATTTGGATAATTGAATCTAACTTGTCTGTCCTCTACTCTTGTTTTGTCTTACAGAGATGAAGGATGTGTTAGAATTATCCAAGAAAACACGGCTGGATCTGTCCGCTGCTGCTGAACCTGTGAAACCGTTTGACAAACATGCAGCTAGAGCTCCTGAGGATAAGCGTGCTGAGAAAGTTCTGTCTGAAGAGAAGAGTCTAGGTCCTACGACAAGCCTGGCTGGAAATTTTGTGCACAGTACAGGTGGAGGTGTACCACTCAAGCCTGATAACTCAGACACCGCAGCACATGGGTTACTGGTGAAGACTAAAAACCGGGCCAGACCAAGTAAGATAACAGGTTATACAAAGCAACAGGGCGCACTCCCTCAAGGTTCTTATGTCATCGGTGGATCCCCTATTGGCTGGAATTTCCTTATGTGGCCTGGAAGCAAAGCAGTCTACTATGGTTTGACCAAAGCAGAGTGGTTGGCTCGTCAATCTGCAAAATGAAGTTCCATCCTGCTGTCCCAGTGATCTAACAGCTACATGGATCGATCTTTAGAAGATAACATTGTATTCCCTAATCCCTAGTGATATAAGTAGAACCAAATAGTACATGATACGCCGGGAAGATAACCCCTTTGACACCAGAGCATGGTAACTTGGTAAGGCACTGAGGTATATTGGGATACTCAGTCTTTTGGAATGGATTTTGTTGCACAGTAGGGGTAATCAGCAGTAGATATACAGAGAATTTTGGTACTGTAAACTGGATGAGCCAAGCGTCCATGTTATGTTTTTCTGTTCAGAAGTGGATACGAGGAAGAACTTCAGCACATGACAACGCATTAGCGTTGATGCACAGTTAAACGATTGGTGGAGTTCCTGACTCCCTGCTCTATGTGACTTTGTTCCCTTAATTTCTGTATCTTGCCTGCCTTGCTTTACCTGTGGACAGTCCAGAGAGAATGCCTGTGAAAGCTTGTATTTTAGTTGCTTGTTTGTGCAGCTACTGTTCAAGCGCAGCAAGGCTACTGGCATTAGTTTGGCCTTCTACCTTGCTTGTCTTTGTTGTTCTCTGATGAGATCTAGATTTTCTAACTTTGATAACGTTTTACATTTGGATAGCAAAGGTACTGAAAACCTCATGATAAACAGGAGCATCTGTTCGGAATCTGCACGGCCTGAACGCCTGTGTTGCGGCATACAACTCGAAAGTGATTGAAAGGCACTCTCCTAGTGTACATGTACTGATGATGATGTACATCAGTACATCACTTCCCTTTTCTCGTCAGAACAAGGGGGTAGGGCACCAAGGCCCCCGCTTCGGTCATCCTGTCTTCCATTCTTCTCGGAGCGTGCTCCGCTGTTGACGAAAGCGACGCTTTTGGGCAAGGAAACGGGCCTGCAGGGTCCCAGCTCGCGATTGGGCCCTCGCAGCACCTGCCAAAACAAGAAAAAAAGCCTAGGGCCATGTTTAGTTTGGCGGAGTTGTCCAATCATTAACTAATTAGGCTTAAAACGTTTATATTACAAAGTATAACTAAACTGTACAATTAGTTTTTAATTTCATCAACATTTAGTATTCCATGTATATACCACAAGTTTGATATGACGGGAAATCTTTTTTTTACAGCGTCAAAGTTTGGATTTTGAATGAAACTAAGGCCTTGTTTAGATGGGTGTTAGAAATCAGTATTCGGCACTGTAGCACTTTCGTTTGTATTTGACAATTATTATTCAATCATGGCCTAACTAGGCTTAAAAGATTCGTCTCGTAATTTACAATCAAACTACATAATTAGTTATTTTTTTATCTACATTTAATACTTCATACATGTATCAAAGATTTGATATGATAAAAAAAGTAAAAAAAATTGGAATCTAAACATGGCCTAAACGTAGCCGCATGCGCCAAGCTCCATGCGGAGGTTCCAGAGACATCTCACATCTCTGACGCAAGGCGACGACGTCAGGCTTCTTACCCGGCGCAGGCGAAACGCGCCTATTTAACCGTGCGCCCGCCTCAACCCCTGCCTCCTCCCCGGCCCCCTGTGCTTCCCATTTCCCCCACCCAACGAGAGCCAAAAGCCTCGCGCCCCACGACGCCCCGCCCCGCCCCGGCGGCGACCCCCTGCCGTTCTCCGCAGCGACAGGCGACCAAGCCGCGGGCTTTGATCGCCTCCGCCCCGTGCCTACCCGGCCGCGGGCGTAGCCGCCGCCGCCTCGACCGCAGCAGTCCCGGCCCGGCCCGGCCCCCCTCGGCGACTTCTGATCCAGCCGCGTCGCGCGACAGCTCGTCGTCCGAGTCCGATCCCCGCCACCGCGGCGGAACGAGGCGTCTCCGGTCCCCGAGGTGAGTCCCCCAAACCGGTGGTGCGATTCCGCCTGGTTTCTATGGTTGCTTTGCCGTGGCGGCGTCCCAGATTCGCGCCGTATTCTCCGTCCAAACCCTAGATTCGCCATTCCCTGCGTCGCATCTGGGGCGGAATTTGGGCGATTAGGTGCCTATTCTATGATTTGAGCACCTTCGCCAAGGAATTTTAGGGTCAATCGATGCTGGTTCGATGTGTATGTGGTCCCAATTGGATGCTTGGCTGGTTCAACGTGGGCATTTTCTGAACAATTCATGGCGACCTATGTAAACTTATGGAAGTTTCCTTGCTCTGATTCAGGGGATTCGGGGAATTTGAGACTGATACGACGGGATCCTGGTGATAATGCGGGCCTACGAGTACGAGACCAATGTAAGCTCTACTTTGTGCACTTCATTCAGTTTAATTTCCACCGAGTACGATCATTAAAGCTTTTAAACGCCACAAATCAAGGTTTAAATGGGGAAAAAGTGAGATAGACAGAAGATTAGGGTAACATTATTTTTTTTATTTGCTCAAATGTAGAAAAATAATTGTAATAAAACAAAGCGGGAACTGTAGTATTGACAATCGTAAAAAAAAGCAGTGCAATGTTTTTGGTCTCGTAACGATGACAATTATTGTGCAGGGTTACCACCGGGAAGTGGAAGATGAGTACGGAGACGAGTACTATGATCAAGATGAGTATGAGGAGGAGGGTTTGGGTGCTGGGGATGAGTATGTTGAGGAGGAAGAACCTACAGAGGGACAAAAGGAGATCCTTGAATTGAGAGAACGATTAAAAGAGCAGATTAGGCGAAAGGCAAAGGCTGCTGCTGCCTGCACGGCTGGCCGCTCGTCTTCTTCACAAATACCTCAAGCCAGGGACAAGTATGTTTGATGTACTGATTCTCAGCAGCATTCTCTTTGTTTCTAAAATGATCTCTCTTCGAGCTCATGCCATTGAGAAATAATAAGACTTTATGGGAGATTACTTGTTCCCTTTCGAAATGTCTCCTATTGTGGAACTAAATTTCATAGCCTATTGATCATTATACACTTGTGAAATACTTGCTGCCGGAAGATTTATTTTTCACCAATATATTAGTTTGTTTTTCAGTGTGGTTGTGATGTTGGTAAACCAATTTTCTTTAACGTAAAGACCAATCAGTATTTGATGAATAAGGGAACTTCTCTTTTCTTTTGTTTTCCGACAAAATAGTCTAGCAGCACTTCTACACATTCTGCAGTTGATATTTCTTCTGCATTTCATACCTTACTGTTGTTATAGAGTGTTCTTAAATGTGTTTGACTTCTTTTCCCTGCTAGATTTGGCTCTTTCTTTGGGCCATCCAAGCCGGTGATTTCTCGTCGAGTGATTGAAGAAAGAAAATCATTGAAAGAACTGCATAGCACAATTGCAAGGGAGCCAAGGCCTTCTGGAGTACATGTAATACTATGCCAGTATGCTAATTTTGATTAGCACTGAACCAAACATTAAATAATTATATATTCTGTTTTGCTTTTGCCAGAAGGATATTCCATCATCCTCTAAAGTGCAAAGTAAAGGGAATGGACATCAGCATAAACAGAAGATTGTTAATCAGGTATAAATAATTTATATTCACCGCATTCTTTTGCATGTTCGGTACAATGGACCTAAAATAATGTATTCACAACATAGCAGTTGCAATTTGCAGGTAAAGAGGAAGGTTGAGGCACTTAAGGATAACCGTGATTATTCATTTCTACTCTCGGATGATGCTGACCTTTCACCCTCTCCAAAGGAGAAACCTGCTGCTAGATCTTCCTTGACTCAAAGGGCTGGTGAGTTGGAACTCTAATTTTATTAGACAAGGTCTTCCCTGTGTCTTTCAAATGTGAATTGCTGACTGTTTTTTTCTGGGCAATGAAGATCGCGAGGTGATGCAATCAACAGTAAAGAGCAAGGCACCAACAAGTCAACCTGCACGTTTATCAAATGGATATGGACCAAAGAACACAATATCAACTCAAAGGCATGCTGAAGGTAGGGTAGATTCCATGAGAAAGGAGGCTTTCTTGAATAGAGAAAGGGTTGTTTCACGTGAAAATGAGAGGGCGCATAGTATTGCAAGAAATGGATCCAACCAGGCAAGCACTAGCAAAACCACAATCCAAAAGCTTCCAAGCAGAGGTCCTATTGCTAATAAGCAACCTTCCAAGGATTTGAATGATGCAACTCTGCGGAAGAGCAGTGTAGCCTCGAAGCACCATCTCTCAGAGATTGACAGACCAAAATCCTCTCAAAGTCAGAGGATGCAGTCAGCTGGTCAGAGACCACAGCATTCTTCCCACGGTCAGAGGCCACATCAATCCACGGAGCATAGGCCGCAGCAGTCATTGCAGAGTCGGAGGCCACAGCAAATGACACAGGGTCAGAAACCACAACAGTCTTTGCAGAGTCAAAGGACTCAACAGTCCTTGCAGAATCAAAGGCCACAGCAGTCCTCACATATTCAGAAATCGCAATCCTCACAAACACACAGACCACAGTCCCTACAAGGACAAAGGCCTCTTTCTTCGAAGGGTCAATATTCGGAGCAAAGAAGAGTACAGGCAAATGATAGAGTCAAACAAGCTGAAAGGCTGATTCGGCCTCCCTCGAAGTCCATGGTAAATACTGAAAATACCACCTTTCTGTTGTCTACCATTTTGCCTGAAGTTATTTGCCACACATGTTTCCTGTATATGGGTTGCATTCGTTTGGCTACGGCCTAGGGTTGCTGATGTTTCATTTGTTCCATTATTGTCTCTTTATTTGTGCTTGTAGCCATCTCGGCCAGTCTCTTCCAATGGAATTCGTGATGATCATGCAAAGAGAAAGCAAGTGGCAAAAAGAAGATTTGATGAAGATGAAGATGAGGAAGATCCCTTTGCAATGATCAGAAATATGTTCGGGTATTGTCTAGATAAGCCTGCTCTATCTTTTCTGTTTGGGTCAGTGGTTGTGAGCATCAGCCGTCAGCCTCTATATAAGTTAGCATGTTTTGCTAACATGGTTTTCAAGCTGAGCAAACCAAGCATTGCTTGATTGCAGTGGCTGTTCGAAGATGTTGCTTATAAATATTTGGATTCTAATTTTGGCTTCCTTTGCAGGTATGATCCTAGTAGATATGCAGGCAGAGATGAGGATGTCAGTGACATGGAAGCCGATTTTGCTACTATAGAAATGGAAGAGAAAAGAAGGTATTGCTTCTCTTATTTTATCCATTATAATATTGTACAGATTGAAATAAAAGCTTATATATATAATATACTTGTATGCTTTATATTCAAGATATTGTACTGCCTGCACAGATGATCAAGATAACTTTAGTATCATAATGATGAGATATTTGATGAGATATTGGAAGAGAAAAGAAGGGCGGGCCTGGTGCAAGCGGTAGTCTTACCGCCTGTGACCGGAAGGTCCCGGTTCGAGTCGCATGTCTCCTCGCATTGCACAGGCGAGGGTAAGGCTTGCCACTGACACCCTTCCTCAGACCCCGCACAGAGCGGGAGCTCTCTGCATTGGGTACGCCCTACCGTACCATCCAATTGCTTGCTAGGGTCAAGTTCCTGTGCTATGTTTATTCATGGTTCAGAAACTGGCAGTGCACATCGGATGCATGTGGATACTTAGCATTCTGGGTTTTCCTGTCTGGATGCCCTCTATTTCGTATCTGATTCACACTTGATATTGGCTTCCTTTCAGCGCGAGGATTGCTAGGCAGGAGGATGAAGAGCAACTTCGCTTGATTGAGGAAGAAGAGAGACGCGAGCAGGAGAGGAAGAGGCGAAAGATGGCACGAGGCCGATAGTCCAATACACCGTCATATTTGGATGTTATAACTGCACAGGCCTGATTGCCTGAAGACAAGCCCCATGGTCGATCAGACAGGCACTTCTCTTGCAGTCCTGTTACCCCTTGAGCGTTGCAGACAACAGCAACCTTAGCTCGTTGATTATCTGGAGGCAAATCAAGGAAAACGGCAGGTGAGCAACGCTGGGCACGTGTAAGTGGTTTAGTTCTCGAAGCTGACATGACCATATTTAAGCTCTCGTCAGATTGTTTGGATAGCAAAATGTTCCCAACGTTGCAGCGGCTCGTCAGATTGTTTCTTCTAAATTCTAATTATAATACTGATTCTTTCAGTTAAGCCTGTATAAGGATGCCTAATCCAAGTGGCCCTCTTGTTTACTTTGTTTGGGTGTAGTAGTGTTGTAATAAATATGTGTTCGAATTTTCGGATATAATTTTGACCTTTTGTGAGGCGATCACTGCACAGCAGATGTGCCTCTGGTGTTTCTCCGTCTGGTCGAGAGCCAATCGGATGTTTCGAGCTATTTCCCTTGTGGAAATGGGACTCGGATACGGATACTCCGCGACATTGGCTATACTCCGTATTTTCCTACACGGGACATTGATCACGAAGCAGGCAGCTTGAATCCGGTTCATGTTAGAGTTGTTGAACGTCTCCAATAAGGTTGGCCGATTATGGGAAGCTGCAGAACAAGGACCATGGTTTCGAGTCCTAATAAGGACTCCGATGAATCTCCGCTAGTACCAGGTAACAACAGCGTCAACCTGAAACCCCACGCGTCACGACTTCACGAGTCGCCGACATGGCTGAAGGAGAGGAGAGACCGAGCGGAGGGGGTGACGACGAGAACGGCAAGTACCCGATTGGGTTCCGCTTCAAGCCGACGACCGAGGAGCTCGTGGAGTTCTACCTCCTCCCCAAACTGCTGGACGAACCGACCGTGCCAAACGAATTCGTCATCGAGGCGGACGCGTACGGGTGTGACCCGGAGATATTGACTGGTACAGCAATACAGCATGACCTGACCCTGATGAATTGTTAAATCTCTGTTTCCTTTTTTTGGTACTCGACTAATTAACCTGGTTGCCTGGGCTTCTTTTACAACTCTATTATCTGCGTATTCTTTTCACTTGAAACAAAGAAAAAAAAAGTCTTTTACACTTTGCGTATATATAGTACATGATATGATGATTTGCTACCTGATCACACGGCGCCTATACATAATGTACACAGAAAAATACAAGGAGAGCGGCGTGGACGACACCTGGTACTTCCTGTCGCCGAGGTACCGCAAGTATCGGGGAGGGGATAGGCCGGTGCGGCGCACGGCCGACGATCGTGGCCGGTGGAAGCCGTCGACGGGCCAGTCGAAACCACCGGAGGAGGAGGAGGGCGCCTCGACGAGCCACTCGAAGGCGAAGAAGGCCGCGTTCAGCGAGAACACACTCGCCTACTACGTGGGCCCCACCAAGGACGAGACCAAGACCAAGTGGCTGATGCACGAGCTCGTCGTCCCCGAGACGCCCGACAGCGGCTTCCACAGCAAGAGCGCCGCCGCCCGGCCCAGCGACGACATGCTGGTCAGTTCTCGCCGAGACGTTCAAATTCAATTGTCTCTTTCTGCTGTTTTGGAATGTCTTCGTTCTCTTCTCCCCCACAAATCCATATTCATTGGTTACGTGTATACAGTATATTGTTGCTGTCTGACACTCTAACTCGGACTGTACTTTGCATGCAGTTGAACAGATACGTCGTGTGCAGGATTTACAAGAGCCCGTTGAGAAAGTGGAAGGAGATCGAGGAGGCGGCGGCGGAGGTGCCAGCTTCGTCGCAGTCATCCGGGCCGGCGCCGGAGCGCGTTGGAGAGGCAGCGGCGCGGGCACCGTCGAGCAGGCAGCCGCCGGCCAAGAGGCCCGCGGTGGAGCGGCCGGCGACGAGCGGGCACACCGGCACGCCGAACAAGGGGGTTTCCGTTTCCCAGACGACCTTGTTCCCGGGCGGACGTTCAGCACCGACGCGTGGCAGTGGCGGCGGTAGTAGCGTGCGCATGCCGCCGGTCGGAGTCGGAACCGGAGCAGCAGGGCACCACGGGCCAGAGCTCCCCGCGCTAGTGCATTGGCCGCTGGTGTATAATAACAGCATGCAGGGACCGGTGCAAGTGCAGCAGCCACCGTTGGTGTATGGGTACGGCAACCAAGCGGCGGGGATGCCGAACGCGAACGGCCAGGCGGCGCCAGGGCAGGGGCCGCCGGTGTCGAGGCTACGCCCGCCGCGCTGTGCCGCTGCGACCGCCCCCAACTCTCTTTGTCCCAAGACGATGATGGGTCCGCCGAACCTAGCTGACGGCCAATCAGCTTGGCCGCCCTCTCCACGGCAGCAGCAGCCGCCGCCGCCGCCGGAGACGGACGAAGCGTGCCGGAATCGAGTGTATGCGAGACTGATAGCTGAAATGAAATTACAGAAAGCACAGGAGAGCAGCGCCGCTCGCGCAGGGCAGCAACGGATCGAGCAGACGGCGCCGTCCGCGCAGCCAGCATGCTTCCACGACGAGGGTGGCGATCGCCCTGTGGGAGTCGAAGCCATGGTCTCTCCCGCTCAGTTTCCGGCGCCTCACGGTGGGTATCCTTACAGCAGCAGCAGCAGCAATTTAGCTCAGCGACCCCAGCGGCAGCAATCTAGCTCAGCGGCACCAGCGCCAGCGGCGGTGGAAAAGGCGCCGGCGGCTGAGAACGTGCCCTCTAAGCAATCGCTGCCACCAGCACCAGGCGCAAACGAAGGAAGCTGCAAGGGGGATGCTGCAACTGCAACTATCGCAGACAACATTATTTTGCAGATTTTGACAGCAGATTGTTGGCCGCTATGAATGAAGAATTGAAGACAGACCTAGGATATGGCACTCGTGTCGACACGCCGATGTGGGAGAAGAAGTGTTAGATTTTTTTTTCTTTTCACTGAGTTTGTCATACTTTCGGGAGCAGAGAGTTTTCGTGCCTTCGTCTTCCTTCTAGGAACTAGACTAGATGGAGGATTTCTCTAATTATTTTCCTTTATATATACATGTTTCGATTCGAAGGTTTTTTTACGTCTTGTACATGGCAAGTTTGTGAATATTCAGTCTACCGTTTGCTCAGATTGTTTCCAACCCACTTAATTAGCACTGAATTTTTCACCCTTTAAATGTCCATCAGTCCATCGGGCCATCAACTATAGCCCCTTGGAATTGAGCTTCTTTCTTAATCTCTGACGACTAGCCTCCATAAGCTCAATGGTACCACCACATAAGTTCGCCTACAGGCTTTAGCCAACGTGCAAGGCCGCGTGGGTGAGGCGACCCAATGCACCACCACATGCATGATCACCTTCCTCGACGACGTGGATCCATGTGTGTTGGCCATGGAAGCTCATCCAATTTCAGTGGCAAGTGCTCTGCATTGCCTGTTGCAAGTTCAGTTGTTATCCAACGGGATTCGCTGAAGATGGAGAAAATGAACTACTGAATTCTAGATAGCCAAACTGAGGTTATTCAACCAATGGAAAGTATCGACCATTCAATTCAGTTTCAGTTTGACCACCTAATCAAATGCAGATTCAGTTTGAAAAGCAGAGCTATACAGCTACTCCCTACTACCATGGCCGTCACCAATTGTAGGAAGCCACCTGCGCATGAAATCGATAAGGTGGTACATTCAATTCAGCGCAGTAGTGCTCCAGGGTGCGCAGAAGTTCAGTCAAGCCAAACTCTTTGATACTGGTGAGTGGTGATAGAACAGAAGCTATTGTTGCTAGGCGACAGCAATAGAGGCAGGTAACAGTGGTGCCAAACTCTTTTGATACTGGTGATAGAATCCCACACAACTACAGAAGCTATTGCTAGGCGACAGCAATCAGCAATAGAAGGCAGATAACAGTGGTGCTGGTGGGGCACTTGGGCATCTAACTTGTGACCTGGTGGCTGGCGCTGCGCCATGCGTGGCGACTGGCGAGCCGACGTGTGAAGCTCGCTGTGCGATGCTGCTGGACAAGCAAGAAAGAACGTGCGCGCCCTGTGCCAAAAAGCTGGCCCGCAGAAGCTGAATCGTGCTGGCAAGTGGCAACTGCCTTTGGCGCGTTCGTCCAAACGCAACACGGCGGCTCCCGGCCCGCGCGCTCGGCAGGGCAGCTGAGGCCGACGCTGACGGGGCACCGCACCGGCGGGTGCCGGGCGGAGGACAGCATGTGATGTGTCTGCCTACAAAGGACGACCCAGAGCTTGGACCTTCACGCTGTCTCCGTCGCAAGACGCCAACTCGCGTCGCAACCGCCGTGGCCGGACGGAGCTCTCCACGATCGCCCCCGTCGCATCATCCGAGCAGCATCAGCTTGCCGCCCGGACCGCAGCGCACAGAGAAAAGATCCGAATTCCTGAGACCAGGTCTCTTGTTCCTCGTCTTGTATCGGCCATTCGGTTCGGCCTCGACTTTCGATCCAACCAAGCTCACGAAGCAGAGCATCACGAGGGACGGCCGAGGGAATCGCCGCTAGGCGCTAGCTGCGGCCTGCGGGGTAAATAATAATTCGAGGCACGCGCCACGCGCCGTGAGAATTTTGTGGTGACTGGCAGACGGTAGTGGTATGGTACCACCGCCACCTTCCGGACGGACCTCCAGTGCCGTGGCCAAACCGGCGTCCGAATGCTGACGGGGGCACCGGAACAAGGGTGATAGTAAAACATGATGATGATGACAAGAAAAGATAAGATTGGATTTGTTTGTTTGTGTCCGTGTGGTCATCAATAACCCACGGAGTAATCGGTATCGGCTTCTGAGATTACAAACAAGTACTGAGTAAGTACCACGGAGTAGTAGGAATCAATAACCTAAGATTCCTCGGTTAATAAGATCTTACTGCGACAGATCACAAACATCAAGGAATGTACGACGTCAGTGGTTGCGTACCCATCTTTGTAGCCTGTTTCGTTTACGTACCCACCTTTGTAGCCTGTTTCGTTTGAGGCGTTC